TCTGCTGTTTCACTTTGCATGGTATTGTTCAGTCTCTTTTGTAAAAGTGTGAGAACTTATTATTTTTAAAAAAATAAATAAGTGTGAATTTCAGTGGAGACATAAACATTCCATCAACTATAGAAATCATCTGTAAAATTGGTTCTATATGTCCACCTGTTGATTTTCACTAAAGGTCATTCTAGATAGCAAATAAAAAGTTAGTAAGTGCCAAAATCACTGAGCCATAGAATTCTCTTGAAAATTTTTCTGGACTCAAGAGGTGCAGCAGCACTAAAACACTTCTACAGAGGCTCAAATTCTTCATAAAGAAAAAGTGTGAACTTGGGACAAGATACAAAATACATATTATACATTTTAGAAAATTTCTTAAAATCTCTTCCATTGATCCTTTGATCCTCCATTAATTTAACAGCTCTCATTCTGGCAGGAGTTGAAATGATCTTAACAGATACACAATGTGGGATGGTCACATAAAAAGAACCCAGTGATGCCACCTAGCTAGGAAAAGGAAGGTGCAGAATGTATATTCTGTAGACTGACCTCACTTCCTATGTGGCGTGGGCAAGATGAGGAAATTTCTTTATACCCCTCAAAGAGAGGACTTAGGAGAGGCTAAGTGTCGTGGGTTTGGTAGGGGACCAGCCCCCTATGATACACGGCAAAGGGCCTCCTCACCAAACACTCTGGGAAGACTGTTAAAGATTGTCTGCCACTACATGGCAGAGACACAAAACACATCAGCAAAAACTGAGATGAATCAGAGGCATCTGGGTATTATCGAGTACTGACCACACAATGGGCCAGCAGGTCCCCAGTCAAACCTACTGTTAATGCCTGTGGAGCAAAGAACAGCCAGGCAGAGGAGAGACCTTGCTACAGAGAAACCCCAGGGTCAGAGGAAGGACATGGACCTAAGCATCCTCTTCTCCCATCATGGAGACAGAACAAGGGATGTGGCTTAGGGTTGAGCAGGTTGTGCTCACATAAATGTGTCCCCCAAGGTGCACTCTGGAGGAAGGGAGTTTTTTGGCATTAGTCATCACATAGTGGACTTTTTAGTCTTTTTGTAATCCACTGTAAGTTTAAGTCTGTGGTAGCTACAGCCCTATCTCTCAGACAGCAGGGCACCATCTTGAGAAAGGGAAAAGTGGGCTAGGAGAGCAATCTGAACCACTAAGCATTTTCCTAAAGAGATTAAATCTTTGAAAGATGCCTCCATAAACCATCATAGCTGAATGGACTGAAAGTTAAAGTGAACGAAGACTTACAAAGCAGAAGAGACTAAAATGTTGCCAAAGGACAATAAGTTGTTTTTGCAGTTCAGTAAAGTAATAGTGCATGGGCCAGGTCACAGTTTTTATAAATTATAGGGCAGCATTTATTTTCTGCATATCTGAGTGCAGCATAAAGCAATTTACAACTCTGTTGTGTGTGTGTGTGTGTGTGTGTGTGTGTGTGTAAGACTAGAGGATTGTAACTCTAAACATAATCATGTTTTTGAATGCATACTGATATTATGGATGTTTATATTTTCAACTTTTGACTTTCACATCCTTTAATTTTTCTGTGATGAGCATGTATTTAGCATTTTAAAATCAAAGATGGATAAATGTTATTTTAAAATAATTTGTGTATCTCTTCTAGTTGTTTTTGTCTAAACTCCAACTGTTTTGCAAAATATGTGAAGTATTTGGTCAGTCAGTCCTTTTCCAGTTCAACTCTAAAATATGATTTTCATATTTTTTTACCTTTTTTTTTTTTACTCATAAATCCTTTTTAACTTTGCTCTGTTTTAATCCCTTTATTTCAAAGATCACATCGTATCTCCTTTATTCTCTCAAAATTTCAAAATGGCCTTTGGCCAAATGCAATAAAATTTTGCCCTGACCTGACATAAAGAATGAAGTATGTATATGAAAGCACTTTGAAAACTTTAAAGGACTTTAAAAATGCATGGTAGTATTGGTGGTGGAAGAGAAAGGGGTGGGAGAAGAGGGGGAGGAAACTGTAAGTGGAGGAACTATGTTGTATTTTCTCATAACATAAATTTTGAAGTCCTTCCTGAATGAATTTGCAAACAGAAGCAAATGGAGTCCTTATGTGACATTCTTGAATGCTCGCAATTTTATAAATTCAATTCCATGCCTTAGGCAACATGGTACACCCCTTCAGGTTGACATTTTTCTCTGCCATTTACTGCTGCTGAGTGCAATGGACCTCCTTCACAATTGCCAAAATTACCTCAGAGCTACTGGTCTTCCCGGTGTGAACCCTACGGCCACCTCTTGTACCTATATTGTTAAGAGCTGTGCTAGAAGTGGTTCCCAATTAGGAAAACATTGAAAACTGCAAACTGTGTCTAGAGCTTATTTGGGTTTTTTGTTCCTTTGTGTATTTGTTTGAGAGATAGGATATTGAGATCCCAGAAGACGAGAAAGTCTAAGACTATAAATTCAGATCTCCTTAGAAACCCTCCCTGCCCCCACCAGGTTAAAGGGATATAATACCTTGACAAATAGTGCATCTTCACTTTCCAGTCTCTTCAGTGTATGCCTAGGCCAGAAAACTATGCTATAATGGTTAAAAGCATATACTGGGGAGTCAGACAGACTAGGTTCAAATCCCACCCCTACTACTTGGTAGTTCTACGAGCTTGGAGAAAGCACTTGACCTCTTTTTGCCTTAAATTCTTTATTATAAAATGATGATTATAAAAGAATTTATTTCATAGTGTTCCTGACAGATTTCAACGTGTTAATATAAGCGAAGTGCATTCAACAGCATCTGGCACTTACCAAGTGCCCCATAAATGCTAATTATTATGATTAGGAAGGGAATCCTCAAGTGTATCCAAAACACCACAAGCCCCGGAGGCTCACATGCTGTCCCCCTCAAGTGAACTAACACTGAGAAGGCTTGGTAACTCTAAGAAAGAAATCCTTCTCCTAGCTCTTCACAGCTCAAGCGTGTATGGTGATGACCTATTTGTGCATGAACAGATGTGTACCGAGCCTTCTGGATTTACTTTGGCAGCAACAGGGTCAGGCATGTATTGAGTGATCCACCTTTGTGGCTCAGTCAGCTCTGGGATGACCGCACGTGCCTGGTTGTGGTTACGTAACACATCCATCTGGACTGGGATTCAATGTACTGGTCTTAGGCCTTACAGAAAGGAAGCAAAGAAAAATTCTTACCATGGGAAATAATCTTGAGTTCACAGATTTACTATTTTCTTGCCAGGCTTTTCAAGTACTGATGGCTCTCAAATAGGCATTAAAATGATTGTCATTGGACCATAAAGAAAAGCTAGAAAATGTGAGGCACGAAGGTATGCTTTTACCTATGGAGTTCTTTGCTTGTCTTCTGGGGTTTTTTGTTGTTGTTGTTGTTGTTGTTGTTGTTTCGTTTTTTGTTTTTGACCAAAGGAGAAATTACAATTAGGGAGGAGGAAGTAGAAGAATCCTTGGATATATGCTAATGATTCTCAAAAACAGAAGCATTATTTCTAGAGTGCCATTAGCATATCCTGGAAGAGCACCTTTTCTATGACTTCTAGCTTTTATGGGGTTTAGCCAGATCTTTAGCATTCTTAGGTGAATTAATACTCAATGAAATTTTTCATAAGCACCTGAAATTTTTCTGGAAGGTATTTAAAATGGATCAGCAGGCTTGATACCACACCTCACACCTCTGCTCCTAGCATGAATCCTACTCAACATACACTTTTAAAAATTGCTGGAGTTAGTCCTAAGCTACCTTTGCTCCATTTTAATTCATTTGTCAAACAAGTAGTTTTGGGCATTATTTTTCTTGACCATTCTCTTCTCTCTCCATCTCTTCCTTTCTTTTTCTCATCTCCCACGATGTCAATTTATTAAATAGATATACTTTAATGGGCCTGTAGAAAATAAAGACATTTCCGATTTGTTTTGGAAAGGAGGAATCTAAACTCCAACTGCTTTCCAGGGTACAGTTCAATCCTCCACCACACACACTTCCTCCTCCTCCAGGGACTGCATTTCATCTTCCATCTATCTAGCTAAGGAGAACAGAGGCTAATTTAGGAGCCTCTTTCTGCCTGTACATATTCAGCCAGAGGGGTCACTGGTGATTGATGCAAGACGCTACATCCTCCAACAGCTTTCCAAGTCCCTGCTGGTCCAGAGAGGAGCGTCCAACAGTAACTTACCCTTTAGTGCCTGTGTATTTCTGTGCCTCCAGCTAGAAATAGTCAATAAGCACCAGAGGCAACTTATGTTGCCTTAGATCTCAAATAAATGCCTCACACCATCACCTTAGAGGCCTTTCACAAACACTGTTTCTTCACAGATAGATTCCAAGTCCTAGCAGCCAATTACTACTGAGGTGCCTCAAAGGCTTGAAAGAGGAGGCAAGGAGAGAGAAAGGGCTTCTCCAAAGACAAGAGTTATGTGTTTTCTTCTAATAAAAATTGCACCCTTTTAATCGAGTGCTTCCTCTGAGCCAGACACTGGATGAGGTTTTATCTACATTATCCCACTCATTCCTCACAGCTGTGGGATTCATGAAGCTCTAGCCCATTTGACAGATGAGGACACAGAGGCTCACAGAGCTTATGTAACTCCTACTTTCTGCCTCCCCATTCTCTGGCGCACCCCCTTAACTGCCGCTTATACACACAGATGCTTGTGGACGTGTGATACGAAAGCAATTGGAAAATGTTCCTGGATGCCAGGCAAGTCAATTGACTTCTGGGCCTCAGCTTAGGTCCCTGACATTCCTTCTTTTGTATTGAAAAGAGGCTCACTGTGCTGGTTACTCCACAGGCTGCCAGAAGCATGCCCCATTATATTCTCCCCATCTTCTAGATGTTCTCAACACTTCCAGGGCCTTTCATTACTTTAAGGGTGGGTGTCACACGTTCTGGCAAGTTCCTTTTGTTTTGTTTAGAGACAGGGTCCTACTCTGACACCCAGGCTGGAGTGCCGTGGTGAAATCATAGCTCACGGCAGCCTCTAAGTCCTGGGCTCAAGCCATCCTCCCTTCTCAGCCTCCTGAGGAGCTGGGACTACAGGCACACCACCACGCCCAGCTGTAAGTTCCTTCTGGTACCACAAAGCATTGTGTGTTCACCCTGTATAAGGTACTGCAATAGGTTCTGTATAGGTTCAAGGGAGTGGAGTGTTACTTTAAAAACAGACGACACAGTCACAGTCTTCCACAATTATTTTCAATCGTGCAACATTCCACAAAGAATCAGGTCCTGGGTTAAATGCTAGAAATAAAGAGACGAACATGCCTGAGCTATAGGTTTTATCATTCTTTTTCATTATTTTCTTTCTCTGACTTACCTCTATTTCCTACTTCCTAAAGAGTCTTGTTGTCTCCTTTACACACACATGTTCTTAGGAAGATGTATGTGGCAGGATAAAGCATCTGCATTGACCAAAAATTAATTTGGCAACTAACTATAGAAAAGCCAATGTCTCCACATCCTGAAAGAAATCATATAGCTGGACATTGGGTAAGGTCTGATAGGTCAGAGCTCTCAGTATCCCATTTCATCATGCTTTTCTCTTGCAGGAACTGAACCATGGACTAGCATGGTTTTTTTTTTACCTTTTCTCAACTCTTCCTGGGAACTCACAACACATGAATATTAAATACCCAAGATCATTGTATATGTGTAAGTTCTGCGCCATGAAAGTATCTGGACAATGCAGTCTTACCTGGTCTGTAACTGAGCTATCTGCTACACTTCTGCGAAATGAAGGGACAGATGTGTGTGGGCTGTCTCCCCGTGCAAGGCAGAAGACCTTCTAGATGTGATAGATCCAGGCATAAATGTAGGGATAAGGATCACCACGTTTTTTCTGTTATGGAGAAAAATGACTAAATTCCTTGAAGATAATAACAATAATCATGTATTTTATGTCTATAGTACTTTTCCAATTCTCAAGCATTTTCACATCTGTGCTTTCATTGGCTCTCCACACCAAACTTAACCTTGGTCGAAATATTGTGATATTTTTCTCAATGATAACACATCTCTCTCTTTTATTTGGTCACCATGATTATAAAGGAAATATTGTTATCCCTAGTTTATTAATGAAGAAACTGAGGGTTAGAGAGAGTGATTTTCTCAGGTTATAAAACAAGAATTTAAACCCAGGAGATCCTTTGCAAATTTCAGTGTTTGTTCCTCCCCAGTAATCTTCATTTGGTTATTGGGGAGGAATGGGAATAACCAAGGCCTTTCTCTGGAGGATCTCAGATGAAATAGAGCACATGTGCCTAATAAGCCAAACGTCCCACCTGATGGATAGGAGTCACAGTGTGAGGAGTGTGGCCATGGCCAATGAAACCTTGCCAAGCCTTTGTATGGACTGCAAATCCAGTTCATTTCCAAAAGCCAGGTTCCTAGAAAACGGGTTTCTGTTGACACTTTCCCTGCATGTTTTGTTATGTTTGTTTGTGTTGGCCTAGAGAACCAGCAGCCAGGGACAGCGGGATGACTTTCAGCCAAGGGGCGGTCTGTTCACACCCTGGGGACCGGAGCGTTCCACCAAGTTAGCTGCTGCTTGAAAGGACAGCTGCCGCGCAGTCTTGCTCACTCCCCATTTTGTTATCCCTGAGATAATAAATAAAGGCTCATTCTGTTGTGTCCAAAAGACCCTTTTCAGAAGACCTGCTCTTGCTGGAAGTCTCCTGAGTCCCCTTACCTGATTACAGTCAGATGCTGGCCATTTCAAATTAAATTAGAACAAATAACGAAAATGAAAGGAGAGTGGGAAGGAGGAGGAACAAACCAGCAAAAATGGCATTCATTTAAAGTAGTCAGTGAGAAAAATGGAGCCTGAGAAACTCAACCGATACCAGGAGAGATCAATGTTTGTCATCTAGTCTTAGGCTAAAAAGAGCCATAAGTGAGAATTTGTAGGGATGACAGTTCTAGGTCAGTTCTGTTTACCATATTCTGCTGTAGATATGGCCAGGTTAAGCAAGAAAATGTTCTAAACCCAGATCTGAATTCCTATGGCTCTTGGACCATGATCCTATCTCTATTTGGTTAAATGATGGCATATGTAGGATATGAGGTCTAGCTCTTGGAAGGTGTGGAAAATACATGTCTCACTGCACCAATTTGTTTTCTCTACCAAATCCTTCCAATGTTGAAGTGTCATTTGAGCTCAAAATTCTCCCAGAGATGTGCTTAGAGACCCATTGCTGTGTGGATGAATGGGAGAATAGGAAGTAAATTCTTGTAATATGTGGTCTCGATATGGTTCAATGTCAGTAAGACAAATTAAATGAAATTAACTTAAAATTAATTGAAATGATCATGGACCAAGATTACTGTGTGGTCACTCCCCAAAGTGATTTCAAACAGAATTCTTATTGTTCAGTTAAAAACAACTTGCAATCAACTAGCCTAACAATGCCCCCAGATCATTTCAGCCTCCTTGAGATCCCTTTACCTTGGTCATGCTTTCATCACATCTGTCTGATACTCTGCTATCCCCTATTTCAGTGACACTAAATATTGCTGGATCCCAGAAGAGCATTAAGATATTTGATAAGACAATCTAACTTCACCATCCAGATACTGAAAAAATATTTACATTTGATGTGTTTTTTCAATTCTATTAGCCAAAGTAATATATTGCACAATAAAATATATTGTTATATTACAGTACTCTTATTGTGAAGAAACAATGAGCACACAGAAACATAATTCATATTATATCATCTGTCAGTAAAGGAGGTCTCTTCAACAAACACAAACTCAATTTAGATAAAATAAGTTAATAGGTGTTAGAGGGTTAACTTCTCTTGTGACAAAAAGTCATCACATCACATATTAAAGGCCAGTATTAACAAGGAAAGAGATACAAGAGAGCATAAGGGATGATTATCTTTTGAGACATTCCTGCATACAGCATTAAAAAACACAATTTGGTCTTGCAGCTGTCCCCTAACATCACTCCTCAGATTAGTATCTATGATGGAACAAGTCAAACTTTGAAGTATCAAAATGAGCTAGTGCTGCTGGGTATTTCCTAAAAAATGTGACAACTCTTATACTTAAAATAAATACATAAATAAATAAATAAGCACTGAAGAGTGATCAGTGAAAATGTCTCTTATGCCTATTATTTTTAGCTGAGCGCTGTTATGACTGTTTCCATGGTTAAACCATGAATATGTTTTCTGCACAAGCACGGTCAGCTAGTGGCCTTAATTAGCTTTCAAATGGAGAATGCTGCGGTTTACCACTTATTAAATATCCACCACACCAAGTTACAATTTTACCCTTCCACACCTCACTTAGTTGAGACACCTCAAGGAACCCACAATGCTGAATAACTGGTGATTTAAAAATATGTACCATGTGTGATGATCGGACTGAACACACAGGCTGTGAGGGAAGTTCACTAAAACCTGGCCAGATTTCATTTCCAGATGGAATGATACAATTTGTAAATTGAGGCAACAAGATAAGTCACCCAGAAAGAAAGAGATGAAGTGTATGCTCTAGCTAACAGCTAACACACTGTCCTTATTCGTAGGAATTCAACATATATTTATTAAGTGCTTGCATTGCATTCTGAATACTAAGTCTTCATCTAGATTCCTCATGTCTAGGAATTCGCAGGAGGTGATTAAGTGGAATACAGGATCTGGTGAAGAAGAAGAGGACTGTCCCAGCATTCAAGATCTTTAAACAGTATGCCCCCTAGAGAAGGAAGAAAGTATAAAATTACTCATCAAGCTAATCTACTCTTAATACAACCTACAAGTAGAGTAACCTAACCAAGCTCATTTCACCAAGCATTTTATTCATGAGGGAGATGATGCAGTTTGAGATTCAATTGAGACAGAATTAGTGTTTCTGATTAGCTAGGTTGAGTGGTTAAGGTATGGTAATAATGATATCATTATTTCTTCTCATACAACATTCAGAGACACATTCTCTCTCTCACACACACACACACACACACACACACACACACACACACACCCTCACATATCTGTTTGGATGTGGTTTGTGAATCTTCAACTGGTGGTGTCTGCGTATCAACTTGTATACTCCCAGGGGCAAAAAAAAAAAAAAAAAAAAAGTGAATTCACCTCTTGTTGCAATTCCACTGTGTACAAAATGGTCTTGAAATTTGAAGGAAGAAAAAAAATCCTCCTACAAAGAGAACATGTGAAAAGGCCAAGGGAGAGCATAACTGAAAAAAATATATAAAAATGCAAATTTTCCTAAACTTCAGCTTTGGATGGACTGAAGCATAAGTGAGAACTTCAACAAAGCAATAGAAAAAGATGACAGCTCAGAGTTTCAGAAATTTAAGACAGCAGCAGGATTAGACACTTTGGGTTGTCTTCGCACACATTTCTTATGGGAGTTAATTCCATTTGACATGCAAGACCAAAGCAAGATTACAGAGGCATAGCCCCATGGCGAGGTGTATGCTGTAGCTAAAAGCTGGGATTTGAATAATTGTGCAGGCTTACTCCAAGAATCAGGCGAGAACAGAATGAATGGATTATTACAAGGAACTTTGTACATTTTTAACTGCTGGACTTAATAAAATACCCTCTATGTGAGAATAGTGTTATGGTCGTCTGCACTTACTCTAGCTGAAGTTTGTGGTAGGATCTATCAAAAATGAGAAAAAACAGAAGCTGTTTTTTAAAAAAGAAAGAAAGGAAAAAAGAAATTTGAAATGAATGACTGGGCTGGGTCATGCCCGTATGATTTATAGAGGAACAAAAAATTTGGAGAACTTGAGATCAACATATTCGAGCCCCCCCAAAGTTACAGGGAATTCATTTCCTGTGCAAAGAAGTCTGAGGAAAGTGGAGAATAGAGTTCAGGGAAAGTGGGCCACAAAAAGGTGGATTTTCATTTCACGATTTCAGCTCGTTAAGGAGGTCATTTGTTACTGGAAAAAGTTACTAACCCACACATCATTTTATATATATGTATAAATGTGACCTCTTTCCTTGGAAGCCATGGAAGCATTTGTCTGTAAAAGGCAGAAAGAGTAACAGTTCCAAAGACTTCCTGCTGCTTAATTAACTTTCCAGTGAGAATTATTAAAATTCTTTATGTAATTCTTATTTAGTGCTCATTAAAGTGAAAGACACAAATGCTGGACAATGCAGGGTTCAGAGAATTTTAAGAAAGAAAAGTTAGTTTTGCAATAGCTGAGAATTATGAAAAGCTGTCATTAACTGTAGCCAAGTAGACCTTTCATTTTAAAAGTCACTGATTCAGATCTGAAATGATTAGATTTGATTTTCTCCCTTAATCTCATCTTCATGTCCTCCTTTCCTGAAAGCTCATTTCTCCTCAATTCCTCCTCAGCCCTAACCAGCCTAGTGGGGAGGAAAGTCCACCCAGAAGAGGAGGAAACTCCTCTGGGCCATGGCACTGGGGCAGTGCGCCCTCTGCTGGGAAGTCAGCCTGCAGTCCAGCTTGGGAAAATACCCCCCAAAGAGCATGCCCCTAGGAAAGCAAAAGAGATGTGCATTTCCAATAGTGAAAATCCCTCATACATGTGGCGTATCTTTCTCTGGTAAGTGGAGATTAGAGGAGGGACCTGGGAGGGTGCATGCGAAGGCTTCATTAAACCAGAACTCAAATGCAGCTCTCCTCACAAAACATGTCTGACAACCCAGCCTGCCATGTAAAATAGCATCAGGAATGATGAACACATTACAAATTTGTAGACCCTAAAATTAAACTCCACCTCATTTATTTCATATTTCAGCAGGGCTGAAGATGCCTGACAGTAAAGGCACACACCTTTCTTGATAAGCCCCATGGTTTCCTTCTTGGAGAAGGGATTGTGCTCTGTACAGATGCATTCAGTCTTCTTGAAGCCCAAACTCTGCTTGGTGGAGCCAGGAAAGAGGAGGCATGTTTCAGTGTTCTGTAGAAGAAAGTTAAGAATCCTAGCCCTGAGACAGAAGCAGGTGAATGTATTACCACAGGAAGACAAAGAGCTAGTCTTTCCCCCCTTACCTCTGTACATCATTTAGATCTTTGCTAGTAAAAATATGGTTCACACACCAGCCATTTCAGCATCACCTGGGAGCTTGTTAGAAAACCAGGAGCCCAGAACCCACCCTAGACCAACTGCATCATAATTTACATTTTAACAAGATTCCAGTAATTCATAAGTATGTTAAACCTTGAGATGCACCAGTGTAGACACTAAAGAGCTAAAGCACAAACAAAACTAGAGTATGGAACTTTACAAGCAGAAGGGGACCTAGCCACCACCTGCCTCCTTTGATAGAGAAACCAAGGCCCTGAGGGGAACACAACTACTCACATATCTAAGAAGAACATTTTATACAGGCCTCAATTTGGTTTGGTATATAAGCTGGAACAGGGATATCACACATTTTTGTAGTTATCCTCATCACATACTACGAAACCAACAGAATATGGCACCAGCATTACAAGTGGCAAAGGGCATAATTTCCCTGTGGGAGGAACCCTGTCTTCTAATCAGTTCTGTTCTACTGAAACGACTTGTCTACATTCTGCAGGAACTGACATAGAAATGAGATTCTGATATTCCTTCTATCCACATAATGATTGATGAAACACATGGGAAAAATAAATTGAATTATATTATAATCTCCCAGGGAAACATAATTAAGTTGTGAAGCATTTCAATGAAATCCTAAAAGCCTTAGGCAGTTACTTCTACTACATGATCAATAATTATATTAATTATAGATAATTATTTTGATAGGATGGTGTGACTTTGGGGCTCCACTTATTCTTGATCTGATGCATTGATCCAATGGTGAAGACTTGGTTGGAGCCAGAGCTGAACATAAATAACTCTTTTGGGGTCCCAAAAACCTTTATGATACTTACATTAACTTGTACTAATTTGCAATTCCTGGCCACCAATTTGATGTTTATTCACATAATCTAAAGGGTCATACTCGTGTAAGACTACCAGAATAGTAATTCTACTCTTAAATCTATAAGAAACAGAAGCAAGCTACTCCAGAAAGTAATAGATAATATATAATACATAAAATCCAATATTCCTTGAACTTTCAAAATTCCAAGACATCCAATACATTCTTTGTGTGTACACAGGACTGCCCAGCACATCCATGGCAACTCTAAGGCAGTGAGCTAAAAGAATCAGATCCAAAGTTAACAATGCTCAGAAAGTTAGGGTGACCATGGGTCCTTATATATTTAATATCTTTATTTGTAAACACTTAGTTATGAAGGTTATCCCTGGAATACATTTCTCATAGTACACATTTTAAGCACAGGTAAAACCTGAGACTTCTACCTGACCCTCTTTCAACACTTTCCAGAGAGAGCCTCAGTGGGTGTATATGCCTTCTCACCTGAATAAAAGTATCAATAAGAATCAACAGAAAATACAGAGAGATTTAAAATAAAAGTAATAACTCAAGGGATCATACAGCAAACACACCAGATTTTTTTAAGGTGACAACCATTATATGTTAACTTTCCTGAATTCTCCACATCATTCAAGATAACTTGGGTTTTTTAAACATAAAGGGATAATATAGGTTAAAAAAACAAAGGGTGACATAAATAAAATCACTTGTAAGTACGCATTATTTCATCAACATTTCCTTAAAATATTTGTAAAACATCTTGCTCACATGATGGTTACTATACGAGACATTGTAGATTTTTCTCTCAATGAGGAAGAGAAATTCAACATTTAAGAGTCAAGACTTAGAAGCCAAGGCCACCTGCCACTTACCACTTATATGGCTTGAACAATTTACTTAACCTTGCTCTGTGCCTCAGTTTCTGCATCTGTAAAATAGAGATCAAAATAATGTATGCCTAATGAAGTTATTATAAGGATTTAGTAAATTAATAAGCATGGGGCAATTAGAACATGCATGAGAAGTACTAAGCACTCAATATTATCTTTATTGCCTTTATAATATATGTAGGTTGGCTTATTTATGCTCACATTACAATTTATTCAAGAATAGTCTTCTTTAAAGTCACCATCCACGGGATCTGAAAACCAAGTTTTAGTCTCCAACTTTGAGATATGCTTTCTTAAAAGCATATTTTAAAAAGAAAAAGCATTCAGAGGACTTGAAAACATAAGCTTACTCATGTAATACTTTGACAACACACACACACAAGCACAGAATAGTAACACCTCACAGCCCATTGCCAGAAGTTCCCACACAGGGGATTTGCCATAAAGAAAGCTAAATGTGACCCAATATTCTAGTGAGAGATCTCACCATTCAGAGCAGAATAACCTGAGAACAAAATAATGCAGAAAGCAGCCCGAGGTGTCTTTGTCTTTCCTCAGGTAAAATCAATTCCGTTATTATCCACAGTTGGGTACAGAATGGCAGATGAGCAGCATGGCTTCAGCCAGCGATACCTCTCAGAGAGTGGACTGCATGAGTAATATTTCACACCCTCAGCGTTGTCAAGAGAGAAAGGGGGAGATGCATCTTAGGTAGGGAAATTCATTCTAAGCAACTGTTAAGACATTAGAGAAGAAAAAAGGGAAGAAAAATCAGGCCAAATTCATACAGAAACACAGATTCCAGCCTGCCCTTATCCTCAGACAGAGAGGTCAAGGTGATGGGCGATATTGCCAGGCCTGCTATCTTTCTCTCTACTCTTTTATAGGGGGATGGTTTAGCCATATTTCCTATGTGTGGGAAGGAAATGAACCATGCACATGATGCTGCACAGCAAAGTGAAACAGAAAAAGCTTCTCAAAGAAAGTAGGCAGACATGAATGTAGCATTGTGTAACCCAAGAAATAGACCAACAATGATTGAAAGCAAGAAAATGACTTGGTCTTTCTTAAAACTGCAACAATTAGGCAATTGAGCTAACTAATAGGATCTGAGAAGATGTAAATAAGTTTTCTTTTTTTTATTAACAAAAGAAATGAGGAGGCAAATTTCAGCCCAGATGAAAGAAGGTAAATGATTCCTCCCCAAAGGCAGAGCCAAGATTTCTCAAATGAGTTTCCTCCTAAAAGAGGCAGAAGTAAAATATATGAATCCAGATGACATAATGTGCTGTGACCTAAATGTAGGCAGTGATGGTATCCTATTCTACAGACCAAGCTCTGGGTAATTGAATGCAAGACAAAGCAAAAATGTAGAAAAGGCCACTCCAAAACAGAAGCATAAAAATGCAGTGTGTGTAACAGTACTGAGAAGGGTACAGCTTTGTAGAACTGATTAATAAGGAGAGCAGTGAACAGAACAGAGTGGATTTGCAGAGATTAGGATGTAGCAAGCTTTGTCCAGAAGATTGTATAAAGTTCTTATTGGCCTTGAATCTGAAAAAAGATAAAAAAAAAAAAAAAAAAAGAAAGGCCAGGCTCGGTGGCTCACACCTATAATCCCAGCACTCTGGGAGGCCGAAACAGGTGGATCATGATGTTAAGAGATTCAGACCATTCTGGCCAATATGGTGAAACCCCGTCTCTACTAAAAAGACAAAAATTAACTGGGCATGGTGGCATGTGCCTGTAGTACCAACTACTTGGGAGGCTGGGGCAGGAGAATCGCCTGGGAGGCAAAGGTTGCAGTGAGCCAAGATCACGCCACTGCACTCCAGCCTGGCGATAGAGCAAGACTCCACTTCAAAAAAAAAAAAAAAAAAAGAAAAGAAAAAATCTATCTTCCATCAGGAAAGACCCCCTGTAAGCTTTTGGTATATCTTAGTCAAAAAACTTACCTTTTTCCATGTGCTATTTAAAAAATAAAATTTACAATAATTGTAAATATTTGTAAAATTATAAATGATGTGCCGTCAAATTTACTGTAATGTGGAAATCATTCTTTCTGACATCTCTCCTGGAAGACAGTAGGGGAAACATGGTACTGTATTTTTGATGTTAGAACGTATCAGAGACCAAACTTTAATTTTTGTTTTTCATCCACAGCATCTGAGCTCTGAGAAAACTCAGAGCTTCACAAGGCCTAAAGGTCAGGTACCAAGGTGAACGAGAATAAGAGTCAGAAATATGAGATTGCCAGATGAGTGTCAAGAACTTGGGCATTTGTATTTCAAACTCTAAGAACTCCACACCAGAGCTTGCTCTACTGTGAAGGGCAATATTACTTACTCCAGGTTCCAGGCAACAGATCATTTTTTTAAGGAATAAAGAAAAAAAAAGGAAGCTGGGCACAGTGGCTGACATCTGTAATGCTACCACTTTGAGAGCCCTAGGCAGGTGGATCACTTGAGGTCAGGAGTTCGAGAAAAGCCTGGCCAACATGGTGAAACCCCGCCTCTGCTAAAAATAGACAAATTAGCCAGGCGTGGTGGAGCATGTCTATAATCCCAGCTACTCGGGAGGCTGAGGCCCAAGAATTGCTTGAGCCCAGGAGGCGGAGGTTGCAGTGAGCTGAGACTGCACCACTGCACTCTAGCCTGGGCAAAAGAGCGAGACTCTGTCTCAAAAAAGAAACAAAAGTAAAAAAAAAAAAGAAAGAAAAAAAAGGCCAGCCTACAAATGCTCAGGAATCCAAAACCAAAAATAATGTTTATAAAACACAGATGTACAGACAACAAATGATAATTGCCATGACTTTAGGACCAGAAAGCACCTTTGGTGCATGGGCTTCTCTCCAATTATCATAAGACTTGGGACCGTCATTAAAGAGGCAATTAAATGTGAAGCCCTTCAAGGCCATAAGAGCTACTCAGCCAACAACAGTCAGTGGCCCCCTCCTTTGCTTTAATCGGAGAGTTCTGAAGAGCTTCTGTTATCAGGGCTGTAATTTGTTATGTGGGGAGTTTGGAGATCCTGATGTCAGGGAAGGTGTTTGTGTCTCTAGGTGGGCAAGAGAGAAAAATAAATAAAGAGAAAAGTAGGTATTTTAGGAATGCAAATGCAACCAAAAATCAGGAAACCTTGGCCAACAACAGTTCTCAAATCTTTCACTTATTGCAAGAGGGAGAAGGGAAGACTTCCAAGTGTTAGACAATCCTAAATCAGGAAAAAGTAAAAGGCGTATTTCCGTGGCTGTGGAAGAAAGTGCTACGTACCTCAGGGAGCCTCGGCCCTGTCTGCTTCTTTCTTTCATTTTGACTTCCTTGGTGAGCTTTTCCTTGTGGTTTTAAGGAAATTAAAAAAAAAAAAAAAAAAAGGTAAGAAAAAATACATATATATATATGCCCATACGCACACGTATGCATGTTTATTATATTCCTTTCTATAAACAGAAATAAAGACAAAAGAAGAAAAGTCTAATTTGTAGTTCAGTTTTCCGGCCTCAATTCTGGCTCACCAATGAATCTTCTTATATACAAAGCTGACTGAAGGGAGGGGTGGGATTGAATAACAAATTTATGTGATACAATCACATCATTTACAATCACATAATGGACCATATCCCAATTTTCAAAAGGCATAAAGTATCCTCATTAATACGATAAGTGCAGCAGTCAAATCAGCACTGTGATTTTATCAGGGTTTTTGACTGTACATGAATGAGAATGTAAAATGCATACAGAATTTTTAATGGAAGGCTTTAACATTCTCTGAATGTATTTCTTACTGTCATTTGCATCACATTAAAGTGAAATTCTACATAAAAGGATAAAGAGAATATGTCCTAAATTACAGTTTTTCCATAGTTGTCATGTCCACACATAGAAAAATCTGATTCATACGCTCGAACATGATCCTAAATCTGAAAAGGCTGCACCAGTTCCCTATTTGTTTGTAGGTTTTATGTGGCTGTCAGGGCTGGAGAGAGCTCAGTAAGGTCAGAGTGTCAGGACAAAGCTAATAAAGATCATGGCAGAGCGGGAGAGCCGGGGAGGGAGGGTGATTGTATTCACTGTCTCTACTCTAGCATATTATTAAATACTGTGCCTGCATTTTTCATTCTATATCAGACTACTAAAAAGTCACTCATGTTCCTTAGAGGTATTCTGTCGCTCCTTTAGAAAGCTTCTATCATTGGTTTAGTTAACTGCAGAGAGTTTATGAACATAGAGTTAATGTTTTATAAATCCAATTCTGTGTATTCCACCATGAATAAACATGTATAACATTGTTATGTACATGGGATATTTTGTAAACACTTACTTCATATCGAACATGTGTATATCTACTTATAGGTTAAAATATGATCCATATGTCAGAAGTTAGTTCCAAAATAATGGCAATTGGGTTAAGTGTGCTTGGCAGCTTATATACACTGAGAAAAAAAAAAAAAAAGCAACCTGTCATTCCTCATTAACCCCACATCACACAGAGAGAAATCAATGATTGGTACATGGCAGTTGACACAGAATCCTGGGAATCTGAGAAAGTGCATTTTGCATCCTAGCAGAGGCCAACGTGTCACCTGCCAAGCTAATGAACTGGGAATAGAGCATGCCTGCTACATACGTACTGACTGCCTGCCCACTGGCTAACACACCTGGCCCATGCGCAGGAATTCGTACCAAATGACATCACTCTGTTATCATTTTAGAGTCTGAATAAGACAGGATGCTTCCATACAACCAATAGAAAAACATGCATGGAACTTGGGGTGAAATAGTTCCAATTCACAATAAGACCTACTAATGTATTTTGTGGCTAGAAAAATAATTTCATGTGTGCACATGAAATGGGCCCATGTGAAATAAATGGATCTTGGCATGGCCAGTCTATCCATATAATTATTTTATCTTTTATTGGTGGGGAGGGGTGGGGAGGACCAAGTCTTTCTCTGTTGCCCAGGCTGGAGTGCAATGGCCCGATCTCGGCTCACTACAACCTCTGCCTCCGAGATTCAAGTGATTCTCTTGCCTCAGCCTCCCGAATAGCTGGGACTACGGGCATACACCACCACGCCTGGCTAATTTTTGTATTTTTAGTAGATAAAGTCCATCTTCTTAGGGATGGACTTTACCAATGGCCTCTGCTACCCTGAACCCTGGTGTGAACTGACCATGGAGATGTGGAAAAATATATCTGCACATGTGAGGACCCTCACAGTGGAGGGATGGGAAAAAACAGGAGGTGGGCGGGAGGCTGAGGTTTGGTTTTCCTCTTCTGCCAGTTCCAGCATCAAACTTCAAGGATCTCAAAGATTCTAAGTTGAAACTTAGACTTCCAGGTTGTTATTACAGCCTATTAATCAAGACAGAGGGTTAGACCTTATTTTAGTCAACAGTTTGCTAGCTTGATTTGTAATGCAGATATTTCAACCTACATTTCTGTGGATCTCCCTTTGTATTCTTTCTCCAGGCCCTTCGAATGTTAAGGGTAATCATTAGTTTGTGACTTTAGATTAGTTTGTGACAAGTAGATTCTTCCTACTCTCTCCTGCCTATCTTCCTCACATACAATGGAAATATAAAACAGGAGTCAGAGGGATAGAGCAGTGATGAACCAGGTAAATTCTTTTGTCCTAAGGTGTCCACTTTATGATCTACTGTGTAATTGCCACTTCTGCAGGCTTCACAGACAATGCAATGAAAAGCAACCTGATACTTTCTTCCTTAGCATCTTCAGAGGAGATGGGCAGCAATGTGTTTCTTAAGTCTGGAAATCTCTGGGTCTCCAGTTACTCTCAGTGTATCCTTTACCCTCTTCACAAACTCTTTAAAATCCTCAGGCTGTTCCATGGGTGCCTGTTCCATGGGTGCCTGATATGCTTCTCAGAGACATCACATGGTCTTAACAAATTCTATCACTAAATTATCCAGGTGTGGTGGTACACACCTGTGGTCACAGCTACTTGGGAGGCTGAGGTGGGAGAATCACTTGAGCCCAGGAGGTTGAGATTGTAGTGAGCTATGATTGAGCCACTGCACCCCAGTCTGAGTGACAGAGCAAGATCCTGTCTCGACAACAACAAAAATTCTATCATTATTTTCCTTGTTTCTCCTATATTTAAGTCCTGGTGAACTTGTTACCTTTGATGTTATACCCGCTATCAACATTTGGTGAGAAGGGAGGGTTTCTTCCCAGAAATATTAACTTTCTTTTTTTCTACATTGTTAGCACTTACTCTTTCTTCAACTTGGAGCTTAAGATTTATCTCTTCCCAATAAACACCTCTATGAGGTCGTAGGAAACAAGTACGTGTGGAGTCATATAGAGATAGAGCTGGATTTCAATTCAACACTTTGTTACTTACTATGTTATCTTGCACCGGTCACTCAAACTTTCTGAGACTCAGTCAATCAGTAAATGGGTATTAGGCAACTGCTTCCAAGTTCTATTGGGAGGATTAGATGATATCATTGATGGAAAGCATCCGGTGTGTTTTTAGATAGATCTCATCTTGTGTTGACTCCCGGGTCAACATTAAGTACTTCTTCCTGTATGGTACATCATACCTATCACAGACCCCAGATAACTGGAACAGTGACATAAGGACACCAGGCCATAAAAATAATTCAATGTGTTTAAGCGAGAGTTACCAGTTTTATTCAGCTGCATTTTAGGGGACAGTCAGAAAATGTGCTAGTGAGGTGGGCTAAAACCAAGTTGGGATAGGCATTTTAGATTAAATAAAGAAATTTGACTTACTGTTATGTCTTAGAATTCCTGGAGTAGATATGTGAGCTTTCCATTTTCTTTAGATAAAACGTAATTAAACATCTTAAAGCACCTCAGCTTAATGTACACAGAATGGTGACATGTTGCCAAAGAAAGCTTTGGAACTTTGTTGCCTACAACTATGCGACAGCTTAGTAACCAAAGCATGCTTGCTATTACATCAATGATAAGTTCTGAATAAATTAACTACATCCAACATGGCATAATGCTTTGGATCATGCAAGTGAGACTATCATATTCATAATTATCATTTTCCCCCAAACTAGACAAACTGTTTTATAGGATTTTTCTTAGTGCTTGTGTTTCAAAATGAAATTCTTACCAATTTGGGATACTAATGATTTAGCCATGTACCAAGTTGGAGTTTCTCCAGTGTGCATGTGCTCCTTATGAAAATGAAGAAGGCAAGCTGCCAATCAAAAGACTAGTTGCAGGTTGCAGGCAAAGACCAGATTGGTGATAATTGCTGGCATGGTGCCTAGCACAGTGTCCCATACACAAACATGCTCAGAAAATGCTACTGGGTCCAGTCAAGACTTCCATATTCCAACTAAGAGCCCTCCCTTGAAGACATAACATTTGTTCAACCTAGAGTTGGAAGGAAGGCAGCGGTATGGACAATCTCCAATTAGCCAGAAGATTTTAATCTACTTTGCAGAACTAATCAAATGGTTGTGCTTCCCCAGTGTTCACGTGAATTGCACCCTAGCTGGAAGTTAACAGACTAAACAATAGCAGGAGCAATTAAGTGGATGTAAATGAATGTGATAGGCTAATTCTCACAAGGAGAACATCAATGTGTCGGTGTCAATGCACTGGTGCCCAGAATAAAGAAGGAATTGACTGGGATGAAGAAGGTAGCAATGAACAAGGTGTAGCAATCTTGTAAGGACATACATTCCTCAACTAGATTAGTTTAGAAATGCTTCGGATATAAGCAGAAGGAATAAAAATAAGTAATGATAGCAGTTCTCTTCTACATATCCTCTTGTGGGAGGAAAAGAAAGAAAATACCACACTTTCACATAAATACATTCAAGGTATATTATACCTTATGGTGTACCTTAACTATGAAATAGATTGTTGGATATGGAATAGGGTAAAAATCAAATCTACTTACAGTGAGGAGAAGGACATTTTCATGACCTGGGAAGCTGAGAATTCAAAGGAGGACAAACTTCCTTGGCCTTTTTCGTATTTGGAAATGGGAACTGATTGACAGAATAAGAAAGCTATAAAAGCTTATTGCTGCTGGGTTTCTGCAGAGTCTAGAAAGACAAGAAAATATGGCACAATAGGAAAACTTGAATTTTTGCTTAAGTTCTTTCCTTTAGCACTTCGATACTTTAGGGAAATCTCAACATCTATAGACTGGGGTGTGAGACTTGGAGAGAATGTGAAATTTGTAAAGATTATTTTACATGCTGCCCCAGAAAATTCCTTTTGTTTAAAGCATCTGAGAACATTATCTGATTTCATTTTTAGCTGTTTTGAAAGAAAAGAATCAGATGAATGCAATGGGTTCAGCCTGACACCCTGCCTTCTGTTTTTCAGGGCATCCTAAAGTTCCTCTGGAATGCATTGGGTGAGAGAGAAAGTTCTGTGTCAACTCTTCTGGCAGGGGTGAGTCTAAATCCACCTTTCCTCATAAATCTTCAGAGGACATCCCTGAAGGTATTGACTCTCTGGTCCATACTGAACATATCATAAATGGGCCTGATTACTATCATAACACATTGCCTGTCAAAAAATCAAAGGATGGAAGAAGAGAGTAAATCAGATGCATAAAGGAAGAAAGACAATCATAATGTCATAATACACTGTATGGTATATACAGTATTTTATTGAAGAATAGTTTTCCAATGGGCAACTGAGACATTAGAGTAAACCGTAAATAATCAAAATCAATAGATTGGTAGAATAAGAGAATGAAAAAACCCATCTATTGTCTGGAAAAGAAAAGTGGGTACATACAGAGTCTTTTTAGAGTATGTTCAGATGATTTAAAAAAGCATAGTCAGAAATAAAAGTATTGTGTGAATATGAAGAATATTATTTATCATCATACTATGTTATATAAGCCATTATTGAAATTAAGCTATACATGAATAAATGGCATGCATAGTTTTGGTTCTTCACCTTTCTATAACTTTTTAAAATTGTTTAACAGAAACCTATAAGTTTTTGTTTCTGCCAAGATCAAGTCTATGACTTTGGCTACTTATGTAAATAAATTTTACCAGGAAAAGGTTGAACATGAACAATTGAATTATCAGAAAGAAATATAAATCTAAGTTCAGTTAAATTAGTTGTATTGACACAGGAGTTTTCTCGGTCACTTTGCCAGCCAGAGACTTTCGGCTGGTGATGCCCCTGCCCAGGCCTCGCTTAGCCCCAGGCCTGCCACAGGAGCTGTGCCACCCACTTGGCCCACCAGGCTGTGCCTGGCTTGCACACTGGCTCAGCCCAGACCTGGCTTGGGCATGCCCCAGCCCACCTGTGTTACAGCTCATACTCGTGTTCGGCGGTTCCCGAGTTCTTGTCCTGTGTCCAAGAAGAATGAGGTTATGCTGACAATCAAAGGGTGAGGAAGGCAGATAAAAGTTTTATTGAGTGATAAAACAGCTCTCAGCAGAGAGAGGATGTGAGGGTGGCCCCCCACCTGAAGTCAGGTGGTCCCTCTCTCAGTGTCACTGGGTCTGGGGCTTTTATGTGGTCAGAATGAGGGAGTGCATGCTGACTGGTTTGTGAATATGCAAAAACGGCTGAAACAAAGGCACCACTCAAAGGTGGGCATGACAGTGTGAAAAAACAATTAGGGAAGGGTAGGTCTATGCAAGGTATATGTAAAACAGGTGAAAGATGGGGATCAATCAGAGAAAAGCACACCAAATGGGAAGAGAGGTCCATGGATTTACTTGGGACTTGTGGCTAGGCATTAAACTGTCCTTGGCTTGAAGGTGGGATTTTACCAGGGACCTGCCCTATCTGCCTAGGATTTTCCTGCCTGCTGCTGCTATCAGTGTCATTGACCCAACTCCAGTCTTTTTGTAGACAAAGCCTACAAAACAGTATTAAGGACATTTTACCTGACAGGTTTAGATAGAAACATTACAAATTAGCAACTCCTTTCCAATAAAGCAAGAAATGAAACAATGAGTAGCAAAAGTTGAGCTATTATGCCTCAGTGATTTAAATTGAATTAAGAATTTTTTGAGACACAAAATCTTTAAGGTTGTAATGTAACAACCTAGTGAACCATCTGACCTGTATGTTTATTTGAAGGCTAAGGTAGTACTTGCATATGGGCTGGCAGGAAGAAAGGAAAGTGTAAAGTAAAAAAGTTCAAGCAGCTTTCAAAATTATTTGCTGATAAGTTTAACACATCCATACACTGTAAAATACTAGAATTGTTCTTATGAGAAGAAAATGTGAAAACAAAGAAGCATCAGTAATAGGGTCCTATAAAATAAACAGTATGCATTTGAAAGGCAAGAAAAAATCATGGCATAAATTTGACTCCATGGAGATAGATTACTGGTTTTGTCTGAAAGAAGAAGGCAGTGCTTTAGACATACCTGGTATTATGAAACAAATGTGGAGTTTGAGGAACTATTAATCTATTTTTCCATGATTTACAAATGCATATTTTTATGGAAGGAACTTTTCCTTTCTGTGTACAAATTAGATAAAAATGTATTTGTTTTATGCTAACAGTGAGTTAGGAAGGTAGAACCAGATAACCTTATACTTTTTTTTTTTTTTTAAGTAAAAGAAATACCAGCTCAAATGATCAACTTGTAGCCATGTTCTTGATAATATTGTGAAAATAACAAATGGTATGATAGAGATTTTAAAATAAATTTTGTTTGCTGATTCCTAATAACAAGTAAAGAACATGGTCTCCTTTTGTCCTAATATGTTTTCCTTAGTTTCTGACTTTTGGCAACATCTCCAGATAGTCAGCAGGGAATGGATGGGAAATTAGACACATATCCTAATTTTATTGGAGGAGAAAATGTTTTCACTGACGTGGAATTATACAGTTTAGTCACAGATAAAAATCTGGTTTCATAGCATCTAATTTTATTTTTACGAAAGATGTGAGCATTCTTTGCTTTTGACAAAAGCAACATGAAATATCTTGCATGGTAGAGCTAACTTGTATGAATGGTATACATTGTTCCAGGAGCTATTCTAGATATTCGATGTGCACCATTCTATTTTGTACTTATAATAAGTCAATAAATATTTAAGATAAAGGGCTTGTTAAAGCTCTTCCTACCAGTGAAGGGCAAGGACCAAGATTCCAACAGGTGAACTGCCCAATAAAAGGATGTTATGAAGTCTCTAATAGTAAAATGCATAACTTTGGAACAGAATAAATTAAATGGAGTAATGTTATTATCAGATAATTTTTGTCACTTTTCCATCAACCCATAAATGTCTTCTCTACAGAATTCTTGTCATTTGACAAGTATTTTTGGTATTAAAAAGAACAATTTTATCATGACTAAAAATGGATCAGAACTTGAATACGTCTTTTTTTTTAGGCCCAAATTCCAACTCCTATCTTAATATAAAGAATATGAAGGAAAGGAAAGAAATGAAAGAACAACAGAATGAATGACAGGGGAACAGAAAAGGTGAAGGGAGGGAGGGAGGAGGTGAGAGAGAGAGAGAGAGAGAGAGAGAGAGAGAGAGAAGAAAGGGCCTAGGTAAAATCTGTGGTCATTATAAATGTTTTTGAAACTGTTTCTAGACATGGAAAGAAATGGGTGCATTTTCCTGACAATGATGTATCTATTAATATATCTAGTATATCTATATGCTACATATATTCAAGGAAGATGAATAGGAATCAACAGCAATATTTGGCCATGAATGCTGAATACTAGTATATGCAGTCTTTGATCTTTGTCAGAGATAAAGTAATTAAACAAATTATTAAAGGTAAAATGATTAGGTCAGGCATGTGCAGATATATTTTTCCACATCTCCATGGTCAGTTCACACCAGGGTTCAGGGGAGCACAGGCCATTGGTAAAGTCCATCCCTAAGAAGATGGACCTACACAGGCCCTACAGTGGGTTTGGGGCCATATAGGCAGGGAATTTGGGAATCTATTATATTTACAGCATGACCTAGAAGGGGGCAAATGTCCAGGGTTCAGGTGAGAATGTCTGTTGGTTCTTTGGATACCTTATCCCTTAAGGAGGACTGAAAAAGTTCAGAAAAGAAAAGAAAAAAAAAAGGGCCCAGAAAAGCACAGGGCTCAAGGCAAGGACAGCTTTTGCCTAACTGTAAAACGGCATTGCAAAGAGTAGTATTAAAAAAAAAGGGGGGGGGGGGGCCATAGATCCTGTTTTGGCACCAAAGCTCCTCTTTGGTGCCCCACTTGGCCTATAGCATTACACAACCTCCTTAGGTGGCCCCATTCACATTGAGGGATATAGAAGCCTTGCGTTAGGCATAGTTAGGTCACTAATAAGAGTCCCTAAAAAGAGGCTAGGATTTTGAATGTTCATCTTTTACACTTTTGAGTAGCTAAAAGCTTTTTTTAAACTCTCATTCAGTCCAGTGTCTCCACATAGATTCAAATTGCCATAAAGCAAAGGAAAAATTTTGAGACCCCCTTCAACTGATTTCTCCATTGCCTTCACAAATACATATGCACACGTGCACGCACACACACAGGGTTTAGCTAGCTATTCAATACTGTCCCAATTAAAAGTTGAATGCATCAGCAAATTGAACCCTAGAAGCTAGTTAGTTCTGTGCCTCAGTCTACTCACCTAGCTATAGAGCTTACTTCATCAGAAAACTCTCTCTCTGTTCAAAACAGAGAGCTTCCCTCTGCAAACTCACTCTACAAAGTGCATTAGACTCCACATCACATCTATTCTCCTTCAGCCCTAGTGGATAGAACAAGTTTCTCTGAGAGGATCATTTCTGTTGACCGAACTTTAAGTTCTTTTCCCAGATCCCTGACATGATTTGACTGAATTTCTTGAAGCTTTTGTGTGTAAAGGTTGCAGAATGTCAATTCTCTAGTGATGGGATTTAGAAAAAGGAATGAAACCCAGAGACTTTATTCAGAGCATGTGAGGAACCACCTTTATTACTAAGTATTTCATACAATGGTATTAAAGCTATTTGCCATGCTTTTTTTTATCCAAGGGTTTGACACAATTTCTTATTGTGCAGATAGCTGCTCCTAAAATTAAACCAATAACAATCAGTAGCATGTTATTGAAAGCTTATGATG